AAAACAATAACGTCAACAGTGATGTAATAAGAAAAACAATATCACCAAGAATATCGTAACAAGAAGAAAAAAACAATAATATCAACAATGATGCAATAAGAAGAAAAACAATATCACCAAGAATATCGTAACAAGAAGAATAAAACAATAATATCAACAATGATGCAATAAGAAGAAAAACAATATCACCAACTATGATGTAATAAGTAGAATAAAATCAAATAATCAATAATGATGTAATAAGCATAAAATTAAACTATTAATGATTATGTAATAAGGAGAATAAACTGTGATTAAGCAATCTAAGAGATATAATAAACTATGAATAGTCGTTGTATTGGATATAATAGAATAAACTGAGATAATCGTTGTAATACATAAACAGAATAGTCTGTAAATAACCAGCGTAAGAAATAAAGTAAACTAGAAATAATCGATGTAAAGGATATAATAGAATAAACTAGAAATAATCGATGTAAAGGATATAATAGAATAAACTAGAAATAATCGATGTAAAGGATATAATAGAATAAACTAGAAATAATCGATGTAAAGGATATAATAGAATAAACTAAAAATAATCGATGTAAAGGATATAATAGAATAAACCAAATAATCGATATAAAGGATATAATAGAATAAACCAAATAATTGATGTAAAGGATATAATAGAATAAACCAAATAATTGATGCAACATATTGACAGAATAACAAACTATGAATAATCATTGTAATAGATAGAATACAACAAACTATGAATAATCGTTGTAATAGATAAAATACAATAAACTATGAATACTCGTTGTAATAGATAGAATACAACAAACCATGAATATTCGTTGTGTTAGATAGAATACAACAAACTAAGAATAATCGTTGTAATAGGTAGAATACAACAAACTATGAATAATCGTTGTAATAGATAGAATACAACAACATATGAATAATCGTTGTAATAGGTAGAATACAACAAACTATGAATAATCGTTGTAATAGGTAGAATATAATAAACTATGAATAATCGTTGTATTAGATAGAATACAACAACATATGAATAATCGTTGTAATAGATAGAATTTAACAAATTATGAATAATCGTTGTAATAGATATAGTATAGGTATAGTTAAGTAGATAAAATCAAAGACAAAATAGCTTCCTGAAAATATCCCCAAGTTTAAGCTATAGTAGTGTGGAAATGATTCAAGGAGATAGGATAATATATATATACTGTAATGTGATTTTGTGGTGAACTGATAAAATGTACTTATGACGAATATTCCATCTCTAACGGATTACCCAGACATGATTTTCTATAACCAGTTATGTCTTTATTTTTCAGTGCATAATTTATCAGTATTATATTAATAGTTGTGTTTATACTTACGTTCCTCACAACGTGTTCCACGCCGCCCTATAGGACATTTACAAGAATAACTTCCTTGGGGTAAAACAGCACATGTAGCGCCCTCTGCGCAAGGGTTGCTTGCGCAAGGATTGAGAGAAACTTCACACTGGTCACCTGTAGAATATTTTAGCAACATTACAATAAAGAACTTAAACGTCAGGAAGGAAAGAATGCAAGAGTTTTATATCAGTGAACAGCGAACGCTGAATAAAGAGCCAAATTTTTATTTACACGAACGAACATTTATAGAAAACAAAAATCGTAACTTTGTAAAAAGCATCAAAAAGAATCAATGAAATATGAAACAGAGAACTTTACACTAGTATAATACTGAAGTATATGAAGTTTTTTAAATAATTACACCACTTAGGTACTAATTATTTGATTGTTTAAATACTTTTCTTGTGGATTGCGGATTTGAATATTTCCAACCGAATAATCGTTGTAATAAACTAAAAACAATCGTGTCATGAATAGAATAAAATAAGCAGACTTGGGAGCTAGTAAGCTTAAAATCAACCAGTGTTTATGATAATCTTAGGCCTTCTAGTTCCAGAAAAAACAACAGTAAAATAGATAAAGCTCATTGTGATAACCAACTAGTAACAAAAATATATGAAACGAGCAACGTGTTTAAATGTTGGTGCACAAACATTAAGACTAAGAACATGTTAACTTGAACAAGGGCACATTAAATAATGTTTTAAACAATTATTTATTATATAGTCTAGATGGCAGCCAGGTTCTTTCTTACCGTCGTAGCCTGGAAGACAGGTGCATTTGTAACCTTCTTCACTGGCAGCCATACACGTGCCACCATGTTGACAAGGCATGCTCATGCAGTGGTTGTCGGAACAGTTTTCTAAAAACAAGATGATCCATGTGAGCGAGTCTACAAGAAGCGTCTAGAGAAGCTAAGTTTAAAGTTTACAGGGAGTGAAGTTGCAAGATATGTGTAGAAACAATAAGTTTTACAACAGTTTAGTATGAGTTAGCGTACAAGATAAGTGTAGTCGAAGATAAGTTTAACAACAGTTTACAGTTAGTTAGTGTACGAGAAAAGTAAAGAAAATATAAGTTTTACAAAAATTTACAGTTAGTTAGTGTACAAGGCAAAGGTAAGAAAGATGTTTTACAACAGCTTACAGTGAGTTAGTGTACAAGCCAAGTGTAGAAAAGATAAGTTTTACAATAGTTTAGTATGAGTTAGCGTACAAGATAAGTGTAGTCGAAGATAAGTTTAACAACAGTTTACAGTTAGTTAGTGTACGAGACAAGTGTAGAAAAGATAAGTTTTACAATAGTTTACAGTTAGTTAGTGTACAAGCCAAGTGTAGAAAAGATAAGTTTTACAATAGTTTACAGTTAGTTAGTGTACAAGATAAATCTAGAAAAGATAAGTTTTACAACAGTTTACAGTGAGTTAGTGTACAAGATAAGTGTAGAAAAGATAAGTTTTACAACAGCTTTCAGTGAGTTAGTGTACAAGCCAAGTGTAGAAAAGATAAGTTTTACAATAGTTTACAGTTAGTTGTACAGCTGACGTTTCATAGCTAATATGGTGTCATTTTCAGTGGAAGATATCTTGTCTACACGTATATTGTACACTAACTCACTGTAAACTGTTGTAAAACTTATCTTTTCTACACTTGTCTTGTACACTAACTAACTGTAAACTATTGTAAAACTTATCTTTTCTACACTTGTCTTGTACACTAACTAACTGTAAACTATTGTAAAACTTATCTTTTCTACACTTGTCTTGTACACTAACTAACTGTAAACTATTGTAAAACTTATCTTTTCTACGCTTGTCTTGTACACTAACTAACTGTAAACTATTGTAAAACTTATCTTTTCTACACTTGTCTTGTACACTAATATAAGCTACTCTTATGAACTATTCTCTTATGTGTTTCATTTCCACCTGGATCTATGGAGGAATGTCCCTGAGAAAAGATTTACAATGTTGTTTTTGACGTGTTAATAATTGCCTAAGAACGGTGATAATAAACCTTTACGACAATTATGAAAGAAGTAATCCAATACTCTGAATGCCAATTAACATTTCAGTATTATTGGCTTAATTCTAAAATCAATATCACGAACGGAAGAACCAGAATTTCAGTATTACGGGCTTAATACTAAAATCAACATAACGAACGGAAGAACCAGATTTTTAGTATTACTGGCTTAATACTAAGATCAATATAATGAACGGAACAACCAGAATTTCAGTATTACTGGCTAATACTAAAATCAACACAACGAACACAAGAACCAGAATTTCACTATTACTGGCTTAATACTAAAATCAATATAACGAACGGAAGAAACAGAATTTAAATAATACTGGCTTAATACTAAAATCAACATAACGAACTCAAGAACCAGAATTTCAGTATTATTGTCTTAATACTAAAATCAATATAACGAATGGAAGAACCAGAATTTTAGGATTACTGGCTTAATACTAAAATCAATATAACGAACGGAAGATCCAGAATTTTAGGATTAATGGCTTAATACTAAAATCAACATAACGAACACAAGAACCAGAATTTCAGTATTACTGGCTTAATACTAAAATCAATATAACGAACGGAAAAAACAAAATTTCAGTATTACCGGCTTAATACTAAAATCAATATAACGAACGGAAGAACCATAATTTCAGCATTACTTGTTTAATACTGAAATCAATATAAACAACGGAAGAAACAGAATTTTAGCATTATCGGCTTAATACTAAAGTCAATATAACGAACAGAAGAACCAGCATTTTAGTATTATCGGCTTAATACCAAAGTCAATATACGGAACGGAAGAACCAGATTTTGAATGTACAATCAAGATAGTTTTTGACAATTCTTAAATTAAAGCATAATTAATAAACATAGTGAGTCAACAATGTTATTACAAACGTCATGTGTAATTCAACGCTGACAAGAAAAAATCAAATAATCAATACTGTCTTGTGACTTGTATAAGTAAGCTTCAATGAAAGTTATTTGAGTAATGAAGCACAACATCTTAATATAATAGTAGGTATACAACTATTTATAAGTATAAAGAAAAGTTTTATTGAACACAGTAAATATTTAAACAGAACATTGGCCTGTATTCTTCAGGCATGATCATTACGAAACAGTACAAAGTTTATATATCGTTACAAAGATACGAGTATTAAATGTGACGGAAATGGTGCCACATACAATCCTTCTGTTTGTTGTACGATATATAAACCTTGTATTGTTTAGTACTGATTATATCTGAAGAATATTTTTTCTTATGCTTATAAATCGTTATTGCCTAACTATTATTACACGAAAGTTGTTACTATAACTAACCACATGTTACAAAGCTGGTTGAATATTTTGATAAGATAGAACAAATAAAAAGAGAAAGTTCTCTCGCAGATGTGGTTTGTATGTTGAAGTTTCAAATATTTTTTTACAAACACTTACTAAATACAGTCATTCATCAAACTAACCAGAAACTAACACCTTTACAGCAATAACGTCACGTTTTTCAGTTTATACTCACGAATCTGAGCAGCACTTAAAACATCTCTGGACCCAGGGTATTGAAGGTCAATTTTTCTTCTTCCGACATGTAGCCGACGGATACAGCCCACAAGACCCATACTGACACCTACATTTCTAAATATTCTGTAAAGAAGATTTAACAATTTAAGCCCATGTTAAAGTCACTAGGTTTTAACACTTCATTATTAACAGCAAGACGATAACATACGGGAGATGAAAACATGATAATTGATATAACTGGATTTTAATAATTTTCTGACAATAACAATGGATATCACATCTAGGAGATGAAACCAAGATAATGGCTGGGTTTTAAACTTTTACCTATAATAACAACGAAGATCAAACTTAGATGTAAAAGGAAAATAATTATTGAAGTAAATTGATTTTTAAACTTTTAAAGAGATTTATAAACATTGTATTAAATTCTTATTTATTATAGACAATTGGTTTTGTTTTGATTTCCATAATTTTACGTAGCCCGTAAATGTGTTACACTGGCCTCTAATATAATTAACATGGATACAAACTTGTTTGTCTAAGATATGTTTAACGTGGATCATGTTTCCATTTGTTAATTATTCTATTTTGAAACAAGCCCAAACAGATTAAAGAATTACTTAACAGTAAGAAGTAAATTGGAAACTTACACAGAATAATTCTTGGCAGGTACTTGTAAGTCATTTACTGCCACATTAGAGACTACGTGTAACAGTTGAATGGTATTTATGTCACTATCCTCAATTACCACTGGGTGACAGTCTCCCATTTTTATGCTAAAGTTTCAAGGCAACAGATTAAATCCTTACACTTTATTATTGGTGGGAATGTACCCAATGTACAAATTTTCACCCAGATCCAAAGACTTTAGACTGCCTTCACTCCTACCAGTGACAGCTTCCTGCCCCTCTACACTTAAGATGCCGTCCTGAAGGTAGCGCTTCGCCACCACACGGTGAAACTTGCCGGGCTGCAGGCGCTGAGCGGAGCGTAAGTCAACTGGTCCACTTCCTAAGTCGTATCTAGACATGAAAGATAAGGTGCCGATTACTGATTACAACGATATTCACGGGTTTAACCAGAGTTTGATGACATAATAACAATATAAACACCTAACTAAGAAGATACAATTCTCAGGTTTAACCAGTGTTTGATAACATAACAACAATATAAACACTTAACTAAGAAGATACAATTCTCAGGTTTAACTAGTGTTTGATGACATAACAACAATACACACATTTAACTAAGAAAATACAATTATCAGTTTTAACCAGTGTTTGATGACATAACAACAATATAAACACTAAACTAAGAAGATACAATTCTCAGGTTTAACCAGTGTTTGATGACATAACAACAACATAAACACCTAACTATGAAGATACAATTTTCAGGTTCAACCAGTGTTTGATGACATAACAACAATAAAAAAATTAACTAAGAAGATACAATTCTCAAGTTTAACCAGTGTTTGATGACATAACAACAATATAAACAATTAACTAAGAAGATACAATTCTCAAGCTTAACCGGATTTTGATGACATAACAACAATATAAACAATTAACTAAGAAGATACAATTCTCAAGCTTAACCGGATTTTGATGTTATAACAACAATACACACACTTAACTAAGAAGATACAATTCTCAGGTTTAACCAGTGTTTGATGACATAACAACAACATAAACACCTTACTAAGAAGATACAATCCTCAGGTTTAACCAGTGTTTGATGACATAATAAAAATACACACACTTAACAACCAAAAGGGAATTATCAGGCTTAACCAGTGTCTTCATTGCGATATAACAATTTAATTCAAGACACTTAACAACTAAGAGAGAATTCTATTGTTTGCTGAAGTGATAACATATTATTAAGAATTACACATGTCTGGTTACGTAAAAAATATTACATTCCAAAAGGTTTCGATACCCGTGGTGGGCTGAACACAGATAGTCCATCGTATTTTGTGCTTAACTACAAAGAAACAAACAGTATTTTATAGAGAACTGATTTTGTTATATTACAGCGATTTAGGAGCCTCACCACGTTGTTAAAGTCCAGGCCACTATTCTTGGCCATGTTTTAACTGACGATCGTGCATCTCGACAATATTTCTGAAGTGTAGTTTCAATTTCAAAAGGTTCTATCGCACGACTGTTATGTCCAAAGTACACCCTTCTTCCTTACTTGCTTCCCAAAATCCATCTAGCGTAAAGACAACAGTTTTCCAGCGTCAGTTTCAACAGTATTGAGCACCCAAAAATCCACAGGCGCTGCCTCCGACGATATAAATGATATGTCTTTGCATGGAATAGAATGAATACCTGTTTTATTCTTCAGCTGCTTGAGGTATACGGCGGTTGAATGGGAGGTATGACTGGAATTCCTAGCTTGGTGAACCAGTATCCTATTGGCCTCGTTCTCAGACGGAGATATTTCTTGATTTTGTTGTGCACTTTTGCCTGGGACATGTGGACGGTTTTTCTACAGTCCTTTGTGTTCATGGATTTTCACATGTTATAAGACGCCACATTTTGTTTACCATAACTGAGGTACGACTTGTTACAGGTCTCTTTTTGGATAGTCTTGATGTTTCAGCTTAAGTATATTATTTTGTTTTCCAATGCCATTAACTACAAGAGATTTTCCATCTTGGAAATTCTAAATCCCCGATCTTAATAAATCTTTATGAGCTAATTGGGCTGTTACATAACCTTCCCAAAAGATTCTGTGCTCACTGCTGAGTTATAGGTCATTTCGGTTGATTTGGATCATGTTGAAACTAAGCAGTACACTGATTCTACAATCTATACTGACTCGTGGAGCTCTTTGAAGACCAAAGAATCGCTTAATGTCAGTTCTCACCCAGTTCTCTTAGACATTCAGAAGCGACTGGCCCATTTCTCAGCTCAATTTTTCTGGATTGCCGACCATGTTGGTATTCGTGGGAATGAGCTCGCGTTCGTCGCAGCTAAATTAACCTGTCCTTTATGTAGACTTCAAGTCTGTTCTGGTGATATCTCTGTCCTATATGTAGACTTCAAGTCTGTTCTGGTGATATCTCTGTCCTATATGTAGACTTCAAGTCTGTTCTGATGATATCTCTGTCCTTTATGTGGACTTCAAGTCTGTTCTGATGATATCTCTATCCTTTATGTGGATGTCAAGTCTGTTCTGGTGATATCTCTGTCCTATATGTAGACTACAAGTCTGTTCTGGTGATATCTCTGTCCTATATGTAGACTTCAAGTCTGTTCTGATGAAATATCTGTCCCATATGTAGACTTCAAGTCTGTTCTGATGATATCTCTATCCTTTATGTGGATGTCAAGTCTGTTCTGGTGAT